TTTTAACATAAAAAAATCTCTAGGTTCATAAATAATTCAAAGTGAGAGAAATTTTTGCATTAGCTGCTTTTATTTCTTTTTATCCTTGCTCTCCTATATTTTTTATGATATACAAAAACAACAAAGAAAAGAATTTTAATATTTATCTAGGTATCGAGAACGTCTTAAAACGAAATATCCATGTCATATGGACACAAAAAATTGGAAATTTGTTAAAGATGGTTTAGATGATTTTCGTGATGGTTTACCACCATCACATGATGATATTATTTTAGAAGTAAACGTTTTCTTTTTTATTAATAATTTCTTTCTTTATGTATATTCATTTTTTTCCCTAATAGCCTGACAAAGGTCCTAGTCCCGTTGTACTCTCTCAGAATCGTCGAGTAAAAGCTAATGTATCAAATGTTCGAGGTCGTCTTACAGATCGTCAAATATATTTAAGTCGTGAATTACCTACTGCAGAAAAACGTCGTGAATTGATTGATAATTATATATCAACTTTACTTGATCATCCTTTGGCACTTTTTCCACATTTTAATCAAACATTATCAGCGGATGTAAGCAAAAAGAAAATAAAATGTCTTCACTGAAATTAGAAAAAAAGAAAAGAAAAGTATCATTTATTTAGGCTTATGAAAATTTAACAAAATTACTCGAAGCTGATTTATTACGAGAAAATAATGATCAACAAAATTTATTCATAGACGAATGTAAAGATATCTTTACATCAGCATCGGAAATTCCAATAGCTCAAGAAGATGGAAGTAATACTGAAAAAAGCGCAAGTAGTAGTAGTAGTTCAAATGAATCGGATGATCAACCTGAACCAGAAGAATTGGAAAGTAAACGTAGTTCAACACGACCAGGACGAAATACAATTGTTTATGATGAATCAGGAAATCAATACGATTCTGAAGAACTTGAAAGAAAACAGAAAAATCCTTATCGATGGTATATTGAAGAACAACAAAAGAAACAACAAGCTGAAGGATCTACACAAGATGATGAAGCAACTACTGCAATGGTAAATTCATTTTACAAGGCCTCTTTCTCTCTCGAAAATTGATTTTTCGATACAGTGCATGAGATATTCCATGAAACTTTCTGAAGACGTTTGCCTAATGAATGTATACGTTTAAGAAAATTTTTTACAACTTCAAACTTTACAACTCAGAAGATTTTCAAAAGCTATACTGCAAAATAGGGCTTTCATACATACAAATGTTGTTGTTTTAACACACTTCAAGTTACAGCACTCCAGCTACTCTCATTTTTTCAAAGAGAACTTCAGACTGATTGATACAAAGGAATAGACTTTGTAAGTTTTTATTCTATTTCATTTTTGGAGCGCTCTCAAAATATCAAAATTCCAAAAATCTTAAGTAAACTTTGTTTTAGAAAATCTATGATTGCTTTGATATTGAAGGTCAAATGCAAAATCCCTTTTTCTTTTGTTTGAAATTCGAAAATTTATGTCAAAACCAATCTTGAGAATTATTGTCTATATTTACCTGAAGAATTTTATGGGAAAAGGAAGGAAGAATACTCCTATCTTGTAGTATGGGACGCTGTCTAGTAGCAGATTCAGTAGCCCTATATTTTTCCTACAACTGATACTAGGTGTAACTGTGGACAGAAGACCAACTTGACGCACAATTCTTGTGCTGAATTCATTGAGCTCCTTATGAACACTAACTAACGACATAGTAGTCACAAGACTAGATCTATCTCACAATGTAGTCAACATGCTATCGAATGGGTGATCAAAGACAAACAGTTGTGAGCAGTGTTGCCACCTTTGGAAGTCCAAAAAGCAGAAACTATGTTTATGATATGAAACTGGTTTTAAATTTTTGTTTTACTGTACTAATTAACAATTTTCACATTGAATTCAAGCTAATCATTGCTTAAATCATAAGATTTCATGAGTTTTTATGCTTCTGAGTGTTCATAAGATTATTTATGTTAGCTTTTTATTGTGATGTTCGGAAAAATATTGATAACCAACAATTAATGTTGACTGAAATGGACTTATTTTATATTCTTTTAAAAATCATTAACATTCGACGACTTTGCGCCATTCTCTGTTTAAGACTCTTCTATAGATTTCTTTTTTTTTCCTGATTTAACTCTTTATGGCATATTTGTTTGTTAGTCTTGCTGTCATTATCATCTAGAACTACTTTTTTTCTGTTTCTTTGTCCTCAGAAATCATATTAATTCTTCCTGTTTCATTGAATGAATAAACAAGAGAATGTATAATTATATTGATGTATATAAATTAAATGAATAATAAAAAATACGATAGAAAACTATAGGTAAACAATTGATTAAGAAGCAAAAAATATTCATTATAAGTTGTTTGTGATCGGTAGAAAATAAAAGTCATTTGTATAAAATAGAAAGAATTAGAATAGAACACAAACATCAGTAGCTTTTGATACGGTTTTTATCTATTTATGGAAATGAAGACCTTCGAGATGAAAAGTGTTGATTAAAATTATAAATTATGCAGTATTAGAAAAAAGCAGAAATGACAGAAAAAAACTTCAAAAAGCAGAATTTTTCTGCTAAAAGCAGAAGATGTGGCAACTCTGGTTGTGAGTGATTTTTCCAAGTTTATTCCATGGCTTATAGCACTAACGTTTGGCCAAAGTGCTTTGTGGATACATGTCGAACAACGCAGGCAGTCAACCGTGGCAGCAGAACTTTGTGGCATGAGCATCAAATATGATTATGTTACGTACGAATAAAATATTCAATCTAGACTAGTCTTCGAGCCTCATGTTAGATTATTATGCGGTGCAATAATGCTTATAATTTTTCTATAGATATAGTGTTGGTCTTTTTTTTGACAGTTCTAGAAACTCATTATGATTTCAGAAGAAATATTTTAAATTTGGAAGTCATTCTTATGACTTTTCAAACTAAATATCTTAGGAGTCAGGTCAATATATAAAGAAAAGTCTATTTTTTGGAGATAAAAGGAGGTCTTCAAAGAAACAAATAAAATAAATTTTTGAAATTCTCTCATTTAAGGAAGCTCGTCTTAAAAGTGTTTCTGAACAATTTTGCAATTGGTTATATCAACTTGGTGGTGAAACAAATCTTGATATTGATCCAGCTGTTGTTCGAAATTTATTTTCAACTGCTTATGATACAAAACCATCTTTAAGTGTACCAATTAAAATAGTTGAAATGACAAGAGTTCGTTTAATTTAAATTTTTCTTGATTAAGATGTTTTATGTTTTACTTTAGATTCCACCAGAATTACGAGAAGGTGCACAAGAAACAATGATTCCTCAACCGCAACACAGGAAAACAACATTTCCTGCATTGGTATTTCCTTTAGACAGAAACAACTAGAAATTATTTAAGTCATATTAAAATCTACGAATTATGAATATGTATTATTAGACTTTTTTTTTCTATAATGATAGTTTTGATGATTTAAAACAGAAAGTATTTATTTCTTATATAATGTTTATATTTCAAATAGCGGATATTTAATATATCATTACAGACAAATATCAGATTATTATCAAATTCATTTTCGAGTTATTTATTATTAAATTAATAATCTGTTAACATATGAAAGAAAGCAAGACTGTTATATTCTTCAATTTGAATTTTGCTAGATAATTTTTAATAAATAATTACACAAAGATAATTTTATTCTATATTCTAATGTTAAGTACAAAACATAAATTGATTAAAATATCATTTTTTGTCGAAAGAAATTGTTAGATTTTATTATTGAAGTGATAATTTTTGTTCTTTTTCATTCAACACTAAAGAAAGCAAAATGAGACACAATTTTTTTTTTTTTGAATTAATGAAACAAGACAGAAACCGGAAGCGAACACTTTTTTCTCGTTGTCACTAAATATTTTTCATTCTACCCTAGACATACAACCATATGACTCATTTAACACATCGTATCAGTGCCTACAAAATGATACAATTTGTTTTTTGATTCAGTTTCTATTTATGAAGAAAAAGATGAAAAATACATATAAATTTGAAGTACTTTCATTTTTCTATTATAAATAAATTGCACCATTTTTGATTTTGCTGATAAGTCGTATCAAATAAGTCTTATGGATGGATATTTACACAAAAACAAGATCAGTCGTTTTTGGCGTTAGTCCGGGTCTCGGCTAAAAATAAAAACGGTCGTGATCTTAATCAAAACAAAAAAGATTAAGCTTGGAAATCGTCTTGCTTATATCTAGTGTCAGACTTATCAGCAGAACATACTTGTACCTAGTCTCTGAAATAAGTTTCCTTCTATGAAAATTTTATACTTAGTTAATAGAAAAGAAAATTCTCATTGGATTTATTAAAAATAATAATTTTTTTTTTTTTTTGTGTTTTCTGTTTAGCACTTAAGTTCTAGTATATCAAAATCAAAACGGTTGTCTACTAGTCCTACTCATCAAATATTACGATCACGAAAATATCGATATGGAGCATGGTATTTACCTAAAAATCTTTGGCAACGTTCATTAAAAACTGATGAACTTCAAGATCCAAAAGAAATACAAGCTCAACATGAAGATCCGACACGAAAACGAGAAGAACAAATGGTAAAATATTTAATCTAATCAAAACCAAACATTAGATTGATCTCGTTTTTAGAATGCTCGTCTTGCTCCATTACATGGTATTGATGCATTCAAAGAGTATTTAGTCGAAAAAAATGTTCGTCGTTTACCAAAAGTAATTTAAAACAAATTAAAATTAATAAAAAAAGAAATCTACTTTTCCTTCCTCTTTATTTAATAGTTAATAACTGATGTTGAACAATATCGTCATGATAATCCTCGTGAAATAACAAATTCAACTACGGAATTTCAAGCAAAAAAATGATCTTAAATTGACTAATTTTTCTTTTTCTTTTTTTTTGCTTTTCTTTTGAAACCTGGTGTTTTCAACGGTGATTTTTTTAGTGATATATTTACATATTATATTTTTTTTCTTCAGATTTTTCATAATGGCAGATAAAACTGATTCTTATACTGGTTTTAATGCATTTAATCCTTTGTTAGAAACACATGTGAGTTGAATTGTATAAGACAAAATAATATATTATTATTGTGTTTTCGAAGGGTCTGAAACATGATACTGATTTACAACAAGCTCTTTTAAAAACTAGTCATGGACGACGAGCTCCATCAGTAATGTATTTTTTTATTTTATCATAAGAATAACTAAAAAACTTTTATTTTATTTCAGATTGGCCAAGCCGATGGAGCTACTGTTCAAAGAGTAGAAAGATTTTTTTTAAAGCTTAACTTTTAATAGGTTGTTCGATTTTATTTTTTAGGGTGGATTTTTGTCGAAAATAAAAAATGTATTTGGTCGACCGAAGAATACAAATTTACCGGTACCACCGAGTAATTCTGTTGGTCGATTAGGAACTGCATCACGTGCTGCTGCTCAAAAACAAAATAATGTTATTGCTGCTCCACTTGGTTCAGCTATGCATCGTCCTACGTCAGCACAAAAAAGACCAACAACAGCTATACAAGGTGCTGGTTTTGTAGTTGGATCTGGAGCATTAGGTAGTTCTATCTCGATATCAGGATCAAATCAATTTGAAAAGAAAGAAGAAAGGTAATTAAATGATTATGAATATAATAAATATTTTACTTTTGTACTTTTTTTAAAGTAACGATGAAAAAGCACGTAAAATGGAACGAGTAATTTTTGATCTTGTGGAACAAAGTTGTTTTGCATATGAAAAAAATGACACAAAATTAGTAAGAAAATGTAGTCTCTTGTTTATGTCTAATATAAGTTGTTCATTTTTAGGCACTTGAAAACGCCGAAGAAGCAATGAAACATGAAAAAAGTTTTAGTCGATATCGTGAAGAACAAAATCTTGGTGAATCAGATTTGAGTCTATCCGGATTTGTATGTAGTGTATTTGATTGTTTACATTTAGACAAAACAAAAACATATGTTCTTCTAATAAATAACAAGAGAATAGAATTTTCTTTTTTGAGAACAACAAAAAAAAAATATTTATGAATATAAACGTTGATGTGAGAGAAGATCTATCCTAATTGATCATTAGTATTTATTTATCCATTGCATATGAAATCTATATACAAGCATTGAAACTTAATCATTTCAAAACGAAATTCTTTTTTGCAAAGCCAAATAATGAAACACGAAATTATTACTATTCATTTCTAATTAATTGAATTTTCTCTATAGATTATTCTTCATTGTGCAAATATGTTTACGAAATGTTCTATGAATACAGAAGCAATGAATCTATATAATTTAATACTTAAAAATAAATTATTACCTGAATCTAGTCAAGTGTAAGTAAATCTATAAGATATTTTTATTACTATAATAGAAAAAAAAAAAAAAAAACAATTTTCTTAGACGAATAAATATTGGTAACATTTATCTCGGTGCAAAGAATTATACAAAAGCTTTAAAAATGTATCGAATGGCACTGGATCAAATATCGGAACAAAATGCTAAATTAAAGTATATACAGTGGCTCCAAAAATTATTCATACAGGTGTAATTTCGATTTTTTTCCCTAATGGTAACTCCTATGAAGAATCCAAATAGTGATTTGGATAGAGAAAATTG